AAAAATTTTCAAATAAAAGATTTTATTAAATAACGTATTAAGTTTATTTTGCGTTCTTACGGAATTAAACACGTAGATTCACATTCGTTATATAATATAAGAAAATGAATAATAATGCAAAACGATAATTACTAATAGATGCTAATAATTAATAATCATAAATCAATGTAATAATCATTCATTCTGCATTTACCTACGTCAATATCTAATCTAATTTACGACTTTTGGGCAGGAGGCTCGGGGCTCCGTGTACGCCTATAGACACTCACACTGCTAGAGGTAAGGGGCTCGCAAGTGCGTTGCCGGCCTTTTAAGAATTGTTACGCTCTTTTCTTGAAGGACCCTAAGCGATGGCGCGGCGCGGCAAAAATTACTTTAAAAAGCGCTCAGTTGTGTAACGGGTGGAATTTCGAATTCTGCCTCGACGTCCGATCATGAAACGATGAAATCGTTTAGTATTTAGTGTTTCTTTTGTTAAATAAAGCCTGCTACGTCGTTTTCCTTTAACTACAAATAACTGTTGCCTTCCGACATGAAAAAGCTTTGTAGTATTCGTAGAAAATCTTTTGATGAAAATTTAAGTATCAGCACGGAAAACTCGGAAAACGAATAGCAAAATGTAACACGCAAACATTGCATTAATCTCACCTCAGGATATGGAAATTCCAACCGCTACGCTGTTGTATGAAGATAATAAATTTGTTTTAATATCACGAAAACAGAAGATTAATGATAACTACTTTTGTTAGTATTCATTAAAATGTATAACTCGTGAAAGGCATAAAAAATTGGGCTAGTGCAAAAGCTCAATTTCTTAATTAAACGTCTAATTAAATAATCAAAAGTGTTTTCTATTCAAATAATCAAGCTATCTTACAGAGTATCAATTTCATTCAAAATATTCTATGCATTTTAGTTAGAGACTGTAAGAGCTATAGACAAAGACCAACCGTGAATTCATTCAAATGTTGAATTAAAAAAAATGAACTCAGTTAAATCTCTACACTTTATATATTCTGTGCAATCAATTTTGATTGAACAATTCAAGTGCACATACACTAAGTTAACGAACAAAATAAAAGCGAGCAAGTAAAATAAATCATTTTCATTCCAATTTTGCGGAAATTGAATTGAATTCATATACCTACACAATCAATGGGATTGTTAACTGTTTTTCTCATAAGACCCATCCTCGTGTCGTTTAATTGGCACGACTCCAACTACTTTTCAAGTCGCTTAGAACCCCTGAATATTTGATTTTTATGTCAACTCTGACTGTGCTATATTTATGGGTATGTTTATCGTCGCCGGCGATGTTAGTTTGAATTAAATTTACGTAGTTAAAAGCTCGCGATCTTTCGTTGTGTCTACATAGTTTGCGGCATAGAATAGGCTGAAAGAGTTATGTTGACTATATATATACAAAGCTTGGCGCGACATTAATCAAAACATATAGTACTTATATATGAGATATAATGAAATGAAATATTGCTAGTCAAGTCAGTTGAATTACGAGCTTCTACGCTGAATCTGTTATTTATCTTCAAAACTTATATTATTACTTCAATTATAATAGGAAGGGTTATATCAGTTATAAAGAATATCAGTTATCAGATTCCAACAAATTTTATAATTTTATTTAAGATTGTTCTATTTATTCAGTGTGATCCCAACATCCTTTGGAAATGCGTCAACGTAGAATAAACCTTTCAAAAGCATAAACATATGTGTCTAATTAAAATAATAAAAGCGTGTACTTTGAATTAAAATTTTAGTTTTTATTTATTTTTTAAAACAAAAATCACAAGTCCTAGTTCAACAAAGTTCAAGTTATATAAAGAGAAATTTGTTAAGGTTTTTGTTCTATTCATTTTTTTTGAAGTGATTCATGTGTTAAATTACTCCAGTTGAAGCGAGCTACGCGTATTCGTCAAAGAAGGCGAGACGCACACGACGAAACGTTGTACTCGATTGTGATTGGACTAAAAGACGTCATAATAAGTTTCATACGAGACGCTGTTGACCAATCACGAGCGAACGAAAAGCACAATAGTTTCGTCTAAGTCTAACATTGTCACCTCCGAGTGCTCTTCTTAAACGTAGTATACTTATTTAGTTTTCAGGAATCAGTAATAAATAAAAGGTTTTAAGTCAAGCTTTACCGCATAAAAGTTTTAAAATTACGGTAATGTGTTTTTGTAAAATATTGTGACAATTTATGAACTGAATAATGAGATACTTTCGTCACTAGGGTGTCATTATACTGTAAAAGCCTTCGTTCTAACGGACGTGTATTCTAGTGAATTTATTTCTTATTGTAAAAGTTATTAACACTTGTATAATCTGATAAATTAAAAAGCTTAAAGGGTTTATGATCCTATTCTCAGTTACATATTCACGGCCATTGTTCGTGGAGTCAATGGACCGAAGCTGTAACCGGGCTGTGAACTGCGTAGGGCGGGAAATTCGATAGTCGAATTGGCAAACTGCCCACCCCGAATAACATCGTACTAAACTTCGATATTACTTTAACGTTGTAACAGAGGTTATACCCGTAATTCTAGCATTTATTTTACTGAATTACTCAGAGAAAACAATTGCGTGATTGGTTTTACTGTTCGGAAAATTTGGGGTCGATTCCCAAGGAAATTAAATAGCGTACAGGGATGTGGTATCGAGAAATACCTTTTTAGTCTCGGTAAAAACATTATTTCTCGAATTCCAATTTGAAATAACGTTAGCGTTATATAGTCTAGACTCTAGGTTATTTATGTGAAAGTAAATTAGGCGGAGTCGTCGGGACATGGAACCCTTTTTAAGTGGAAAAAGCCCCAATTATTTTTATTTATGGCCCTGTAAAAGTGTGTATTTTATACGAGATCCACTAGACGATGTTTACGGCTTTGTATGTATGTGAATTTTAGAAACGGGGTAAGTGATGCCCACGTGCAATTAAGGTAAAAAGTACCTACAGTAACATCTGTTTAACATTTTTCCATTCGTCATATATATAATTATGTTTTACCACAAAAATATAATTTCGAAAAAAATTGTTTTTATAGAGATTTTATAATCGTAATATTATGTAACGGACACATGTTTAAATGTCTATATTGTTATATACACGGGAATATATATAGTAGTTTCTTGCCTAAAACGCTTAATTAATTTTGCTACATGAGACGGAGTGATAAAAGTGTAATTTAAAAAATCACCGATAGTCATACAGATAGCTGTTTCTATCCGTACCTAAGGGAAACAATTGTTCATCGGTGACTGACCTCTAGATTATTAGAGCTCGCAACTGAGCTACAGAGACGAATACAAATGTAAAAAGTTTAAAATGAGACAAGAAAAGATAATTAAGTTGAAATGAGGCTTTCATTATGTCTTTGCATTTGTCTCTTCCCTCCGATTACGAGATAAACGGGGAGCGAGAAATTTAAAATTACACCCATTTATTACAGTCAAGGAATGTTTTAAATACGATCTCTAACGGTTAATGTACGATTTTTAAAATCTCCGGTAACTACCTTGTGTAATGTACGATTTTTAAAATCTCTCTTAAACTATTTTTTAAATTAGCCGTAAAATGTGTCAATTTTACGTTGAGGCCACAAGATAAATAGCGTACAGGGTAAATTAAGTTTACTGTAATAATATTATCCACAGGAAACCACCCCTTCGGAACGTGTACGTGTAACTTGACAGCGTATTCCGCTCGACGATCAGCTTGCAAGACAACTTGCGAGTGAATTTACCGAGGTATGCATTAACTGTATTGTACGTATGTTTTAATAGTGTAAGAGCTAGTTAATCTAGTTCTAAGGGTAAGAAATTAAACACTCCAATAATGACTTGATTCACTTCAATTCACTTACGAGGAATTGCCCGTGTGCATGTGACACGACTTCTTTTATTACCTATTCCCTACTCCGACTCGACCATCCCAATTCGGGCAGATGTTCCACGTCAATTCGTAAACCAACGAGTCAAATGAGCAACTATGGCATATGCGCACTTATAGCAAGATTCTTAAGAGTACGTTTCATAAAAATGTTTAGAATTTAATTAAATAAATATTAAAAGCTAACAATAGGAACACGTTATATATTCTTTTTTAAGTTTTTTTCGTTATCAGATTCAGGCTTCGAACCGAAAATCCCTGCGTATGCACTATCCTCTGTACTGTAGTAGACTTAAGGCAGTACAATTCTGTATTTGGATATTTATAACAAAGATTTTACGCGAACTAAATACTGTCTCTGAAATAGTCGACATTTTAGTATTCTCTACAGCGAGTTCACAAAAGCGCTTTGAACCAGTCTGTGACCTATATGGGCTAGATATACTAGTGAAGGAATGTTCCTAAATTTATGTAGTAATTAATATATTAATATATAACGTAATTTTTTTCTTGTTTTGTTAATAGTATTTAGTGTTTATTTAAATATTACTGGGTATCTTTATGTTCTGAAAAATGAAATTTAATTTTGATGAAATTTATATTGCTACACAATGGAAGTTTCCTAAACTTCAGTTTTCTCTACTTCAAGAGTTTGATATATTTTTGTATAGTTGATATAAGTAACTATGATTATTTAAAAAAACAGTAGTATTTTGGCGTACGCTGTAACAAAGTATATCCGATACAATGGCTTAATAACAGATTTGTATAACGATAATTTAAAGTTTTGAAAGTTTTATCAAATATTTCGACTATATTCATATAAAATATTTTTCTGTGCGTGTGTATGTGACTGAACCCCCCTCAAACGACTGGACCGATTTTGATGAAATTTTTTGTGTGTGTTCAAGGGGATCTGGGAATGGTTTAGATTCACAAATCAGCCCGGCAGATGGCACGCAGTCGGTACTTTCATACTTTGCTTAATATCCTAATCGCTTTAAATATCATGCAGGACAACGTCTGTGGGGTCGACTATATTCATATAATTTGTATAACGTTTTCGTTCAAGTTCGCTCACAGCGTTTCTTAAATGTTCCAAAGAAAAGTCTATCGTAACTTGTCTATTGCGAGAGCTTTTCGATTTGCCGTATTGTTCGTGCAGCATAACTATAACATAACATTTGTAGCTGCGGTCAAGATAGATCGTTCGGGGTGCCCTGGCATTTGTGGCCCGCAGGCCGCGACCACTTCAACCCTGTCGTTCTCAAGCTTCCGGAATTCCTTCACCACCAATGTCAATTACCTGAAACGAAGGTAAGCCTGCGTTATTAACGTTCACAATTACTCTTGGTATAGCTATTTCAAAGACTAATAAGAAATTTATAATCTATGTACATATAGATTATGTAGAAATTAAAATTGTCTATAGATTGCAATGTATAGATTATGTAGAAATTAAAATTGTCTATAGATTGCAATTGTGTCATGGTTCACATACTTTTAAATGTTTTCAATGATGTATGGTCATTTAATAATTTTGTTTATCCTTTTAAGAAGTTTAATAATTTCAACTCGTATTATCTGGGTTTCATTTCTTAAAATGCGTTGTGCATTTATATTTTTGATTGTTTACTAATAGTTTTATTTTAAATAAAATAATTGTGCATTTCAATTTAAACGATATTTTCCAATTAACTATTCGTGGAGGTTGTTAATTGAAAGGATTTAAAAGTGCTCTTAATTATGTGAACTTATTAAATACCTACTCAATCGAATCGTAATATTTTTACCAAACCTGCATTAATATAATAATGTTATCTCATTCATCTGTCATTGCATTGACATATGGGTGAGTTAGTTGTAAGTTAAGTATCGCTACACTGCTCAAAATCGCACTTCCCTCCTATCCGAACATCATGAGCAAAAGCTGGTTTAAAAAAGTTGTAACTACTAGAACAGCATTTTTAATGATATATGACACATTCCTATTTTTATTATTTTATATTTTAATAATACTCTACTGCCATTGTGTCCAGGGACTTTTTTTCTCCTAAATTTTTACTAAAAAGACACAATATATTTATTACAATAAACTAGTTCACGAATGACGTATTACGCCTCTCGCGAGATACGCCGTGTAAACATATTAGTTACAGCTTTTTTGTTATTGCTGCTTGAGCTTACTATTCCCTGATTTATTTTTGACTTATATTTATATCTGATTACATACGACTCATTGTCAAGATTAAGCCGTAACTATACACGCATTAACGTAACGAAACAAACCTCTTGAAAACTGAAGCAGTCTTATTAAAAAGTTTTCACTATACCTTTCTATCGTTAAGCTTGACTGGCCGAAGTGTGCTTTAACGAGACTAATCCGTCAAGTAAGAATCGTATGGTATCAGATACATCCCTCTACATCCCACGCTGGTCACACCGTGTAGCACTCATAGCCCTGATTTGTCAAAGAATAAAGTCTACCATCGTCATTGCATGGCAATGTGCTTCCTCCATCGATGTTGTAAATCTGTTTTGCTTTGAAATTTACGTTCAATGGGATAATTGCTAATTCGAAATTTAAAATAAGCTTCCCATTCATTTAGGATCAATAATAATAGATTTCAAGCTATCAAAGCAAGCAATATTTCATTAGCATTATCGCTAGAATATGATAAATCAATATAAGAATTATTTTCCGTCCAGTATTATAAGTGGATTTAATTCAAATTAAATCATATCAACATTTATTTAGTTATATGTACATATGAAATATCAATATTAAAAAAAGAAAAACTAAATTTACATACACTACTAGTTTCCAAATCCAGGGCGTAGAGCGGGCGATAAGATTTGGCAAGAAACACTGCGCGTCTCATTTTAATCTCCAAATTTTGGTTTACAATGTCGAACTATACCCAATTCTGCTATAGGCTGAAGACGCGCTGTAACCATTGCTGCACTGCATCTTGAGTCGAGATTTACAGAATACGATGCAGAGTTACGATAATAATTACGTACCTTGCCCCGTAATGTATTGCGTTTCTTTGCCTTATATCTTGGTTGATATCTTTGGGTGTTTAGGGAATTAAGAGTAGGGTGCTAGGCATCAATGAGTGGCTACATAGTGTGTGTCGGTTTCCTTCCCGTCTGCCGTGCGGTGATGCGCGTAGTTCAGCGGACGCGTTGCGCAGATTCAGCTCCGGTGATCTTCAGTCGGAGTGCGATGAAGGGGAGGTCGACCCCTACACCGGCCGCCCGGCCACCACCAGCCAGCCCAAGCCGCAGCAGAGGCCCGTCTCCCAGGGTAAGATTATGTAACTACATTTTATACTATTTCGTTGCTACGATCTTCCGCCCTTATTTTAATAAATATAACTCATGTAATATAATAATCCTATACTTTCTATTCAGACTTTTTACGTTCGATATTATTAAATAAGTTACTAAAAACTGATAAAAAATTCAAAAACACAATTTGCAATTCGTGTATTGTATTATTCAACATATTCGAGGAGTAATGTTGTTAAAGTATTGATGTAAGAGTAAAGTTGAAGATTTGTTAAAATAAGACGATTCTACGAAAAATGAGCTTTTCATTTTCATTATGTGACTTAATTGTGAATAGATCTAGTTAAAAACGTTTCTTTAATCAAAACACAGTACATGTTGATAAAGAACATATGAAATTATATTATTTTTCCGCGTAATCTTAATAAAATTATCGAACTTTTACGAAAGTTACCAAATAAATGTACGTTTGGGAATTTTTTGAAAGTTTATAAGTTCTTTTCAGCCATCCCTAGTGTAAATAGGAAGTGAATTTTGTATGAATAAAGTTGTATTAAATACAAAGTTTTTAACAGGGTAAAAGCTATCATGTTTTTGTGTTAAAATAACAGGTCAAGTGTTTGCACTTCGTAGCGCTAAGGAGGTTGCTACTTAGGTTTTTCTCATGAAAGTACTTGAAAAGGATATAGAATTTAAAGTATGTTTTCAAACTTCGTGAAAGATAACAACATGTTTTCGTCTCATACATAATTTAAACGCTTTACTGAAATCGAGTCTAATGTTGTTGTTGTTTGTAGTTGTTTATTAGTTGTTTATGATAAAAAGGGGATTTTGGATTTTTTTCAAATCCGAAATTGTTCTACGATCATGACGGTTTATTTGTGTAAAGAAAGAATCCTTCCTCAAAGGGCGGCAAATCCCCCACTAAAATGGCCGGCCTTTGTCTATTTGAGCGTCCCGTAGACTAAATTGCTCCACCATCCAATAAAAATAATAATAATCAAAAAAATTTTTTTACGATCTCTTCAACACTTATCGTTAAAGAAACTTAAAACTTCGTTAGAATCACATTTTCTAATAAGCTTAATTAAATCTAACAAAAAAATCCTTTCGTTAGTTTTGGACTTCAATTGAAATATGTCATATTATTAATCGTAAACTCTAATTCCTAGTGTTTCATTTCAGACTATTTCCAAATTAAAATTTTAATGCTTTTTATATTGTTGTTTCACGATTAATATTTTGTCTTTAATTAAACAGTTTTCACAAAAAAAAGTGTAATATTAAAAGCATGAGTGTTATTTATAACTACCATTTCCTTCAGGGATTTCATACAAAGATTCCTCTTAACTTAGTCTCTGAATCGAAACATTAAATTTTTTTTGTCGCAATAACCTTTGTTCTGGGCCTCAGATTTCTGTATCTGGTTCGTGATCATTTGCTTTTTTCTAAGGGGCCGTTCAAGTATTACGTAAGCAGATTTACTGCAATTTATCCCCACCCCCCCTTCCTCTTGTAACCAAAAAAAAATAGCATTAGTTTTTTGTATGAAATTCTCGAAAATGCATTTCGTTTTCAAGCATAGACAGTGTGTGGGTAGTATGTGTAAAAAAGTTAATAATGACTGTTGACGTAATCACCAACTAAGAAAATCAAAGACCCCCTATAGTGCTTACGTAATACTTCAACAGTCCCAATAGGCAAATAGGAGATTAGCCGTCTGTGCCTGACACACGCCTTTCACCTATGGGGTTAAGCCATGGCGGTTTCCTCTCAATGTTATCGTTCTTCTTACGAGTGACTGTTAAATGCAAATAGAGAGAAAAGTCTATTGGTACAGCCGGGGCTCGAATCTATGACCTGAGGGATGAGAGCTACACCCTACAACATTAAAAAAAAACATTGCGTAATTTAAATTTAATTTGTAAACTATATATAGGTATAGAAAAGGTTTGTGGCGGTAATCTCTCATTAAGGTTTTATTGTCACTATCTTACGTACAATTTAATTTGATAACAGCGACTGGTGGTAGCCTCGGGAGCGGTTCAGCACCACCAGCGGCGGCAACGGCTGCCCCAGCGACGTCTACTGCGGTCACTGCTGGTTCCGGAGACCTGTCATTGAATCTCCAAAGAGGGTCTAGAGGAACATCAGCCCCTTCGTCACCAGCGAAATCGAGGGAATCTCTCTTACAACGCGTTCAATCTTTAACTGGTGCGGCGAGGGATCAAGGCGCCAATTTATTGGGTAAGCTTTGTAATATAGGTAAAAATGACTGCTCGTTTACTACAAGATCTTTTACGACTCGTAGAACGTATTGTGAGCTCAGTGAAGGATTTATTTATTCTAATATTATTTTATATAAGATTAGTGTATTTTATATTCCGCGTTCCTAAATGACAGCATTAACTTTTAATTAAATAACATTTAATAAAGAAACGTTCCAAGTTCACACTACCGCTATTAATTATCACATCAAAATTTGATAATCGTCTTCTTCGCTTACCTGTTTAAGTAGACGCAAGAATTATATTTTCAACGTATAATAAATCACTTAAAAAATATTCTTATAAAAGTCAAGTTATAACAGAGACAAATCTTAATTTCATAATGAAGACAATCCTAATGTAGGTTACGTCTGAGGGCAAATGGATTTGGTAGCATTATGAACATCTCATTTTAAGCATCATTACGGGGCTAAGAGAAATGAGATTTTTGCAGAATAAACAAGTATAAAGAGGATTTCCATGTCCTTTGATTAGCATAAATCTAAATCTGCCCGTCCTTTGCCCGGTTGAAACAAAAGGGACCGCATACTTTACTTGGGTTTAATTTTAGCTTTGTAATAAATGTTTACTTTGTATAAGTTTTTCACTATTTTGTGCTGTATTTGTATGAAGTTTCTGTTTCTTTAAATTTCTGTAGCAAGTGAAACAGTTTTTAGTTCCTGACAGATCTTCGATTTCATCGCTATAATAATATGCTTTATTTTATGCCAGATTAAACAATTCATAATAAAAAAATACAATTTAAATTAATATAAAACTTTTTATTTACTATTGTGTCGTAGGTGATTCTTGCGAAACACCGAAACGTTAAAAACTTATTAAACTAGGACGCCGCAGTGCTCGCAATTCTGCTTCGCTTCAGCACAAATTTGAGCGGAGCGAGTGTTCAACTCAATTTTTAATGATGAGTAAAAATTAATAGATTCAAAACATTTAATTTAAAGATTTGATTTTGTTGAAAGGGCTTTTTAGTTTTACGTCTCCTTCGAAGTTGTTTTTCCGCTTATTTTGTGATTCATTCGTAAATATTATTGAGTTTTTATAGCCTATAGCACGGGAAATTTTTCCACCTTTAATTTAAAAAAAGAATTTTGAAAATCGGTTAAGCCGTTCAAAAGCCTTAGTGTTTGTACAGAGTGTCATAAGAGTGGGCGCACTACGCTACTATCCAACTATTAAAGACATTACTTTTTCTATATATTACGTAACACCTTCTCCGGGTTGATGTTAACAATTCTTTATCGTAAGAAAATTCAATTACTACTTCAATATAAAGACTCCCCCTCATGAGCGATATCGCGGGCTACTCGATTGTGAGAAAGTTCCATGGATTAGCGCTGCGCCTTCATAAGTTCTAATGACATTTTCACACGTGTATAGTTTCTATAACATATTTTCATAAGTTTCTGATTGTCTTGCTTGTATGTGAGATGTTTGGTAGCAAAAATAAAGTCTTAACTTTTTTCTGGATTTGATAGAACATTAAGTAATATTTAGGGAGTGTGACATCTGTGGCGTCCGTCGGTCGCGGGTACAATCGGGACCGCTGCGTCACTTTGCTGGTCGTGGACGATCAGAACACGGACTGGTCGAAATATTTCCGCAATCGCCGACTACCGGGAGAGTGGGACATTCGTGTGGAACAAGCCGAGTTTAGAGTAAGTATTAAGCAGTATTAGTTGGGTTATTTTACAAAATTTGTCGAGAAAGCGGTTATGATACTAAGACTAACATTGGTTTGCAGATGCTTTATAAGTTTTAAGCTAACTAGCGAACATATAATAAACACCATTTCCATTATATAGGAATAAGCGAATACAAATATGCATTAAAGACTGCTAAAACATATATTTTAGACATTTTTCCGAGATCTAGATTTTTTGTCTAAAAATAATGAATGGATTAATCACAGCTGCGCTAGTCACTGTTAACGTAGTGACATAACTGACTAAATGGATTATTTCAATCTCTATATAATTACGTAAATATTTCAAGTCTATGGTCACGTAATAAAATACGTCATTGTCTTTGATACGTAATAATCTTAATATCGATTAGAATCGAGTAGTCTCGAATAAATAAAATGTGTTATGTTATTCTAATAACGTGTAAAATAAAACTAGTGTTATGCTGTTACAGTACCACGACACTGAAATAGGGATGAAGCAGAATTTCGGTGCACCAGATCTTGCTCCTTGCAATAAGACATAACATATTTTGTTTATTACCGTTGTCAAATGTTATATATTTAGCGCTATAATATATAAATTATATCTTTAGTCAATCGTTATTTGTACAGTTTTAGTCTTAAGCTTTGTTAAGTAAATATGAAGTTTAAATTAACTTGTCGTGCTTCGAAATTCTTCATAATATTTCATTTTAAAATATTCCGTCCGAAATGAAATGAAAATTAACTCAATTTAAGCATCGCCGAGTTGAAAATTATAAGTTTAATAAAATTGCATGATTTTACAGACTCATTTTGGAAGGAAAATGTATAGTCATTGTTGCCTTTACTTCCAAATTAGCTTAAGTAACCAAAGATGGTTAGTTTAGGTTTTAATATATGCTAAAAGTAAGTCGCTGATCTAATCTAATATATAAAATTCTCGTGTCACAATGTTCGTTTCCATACTCCTCTGAAACGGCTTGACCGCATTTTATGAATTTTTTTATGCATATTTAGTAAGCCAGAGAATCGGCTACTATATATCTTTAAACCCCGTAAGTGATAAGGGGGGGTAACACCCCAAAATTTTTTTTTTTGTTTTTTATTTTTTATGAGACAGCATATAAAAATACATACAACCCCTAATTTTCACCCCTCTACGATCAACCTTTATTTATTATTATTGTAGATAGTTATTTTTATTGAACTAAAAATGCTTCCTAGAAATAATATACATGGCAAAACAACGTGTGCTGGGTCAGCTAGTAATATATAAGACAACTAATTGTAATGGAAGACGAGACACAATTGACATAACTGCAACCTTTTTTTATTATGTTCTAAATCTATTTATTATTTGTCCAGGAACTGACAGTGACAGCGAATTCAGATGGCACCAATGTGTCTATGGCGGTGTACCGCGGCGGCACCAAAGTTACTCGATGTTTCAAGTATGTTTTTTTCAGTCGCTTCGATTTTCTTGACATAGACAATATTCATTCGATATTCCTTATATATTAAATTAAGTCTGTGATGAACGTGATAAACTTAAAAGCTACCCAACTAACTTTTGTACGGACTGTACCCTTACTAAGGAAGGTTCTAGTGTATAATTGAGATGTAAATTGACTGAAATATTTAAAGTTAAAGTCGCAAAATATCTTGCCAAAGCTGAAAAGCTCTCGCAAATAAATAAGATCTCATCCGTTGCCTCAATTATAAACTAAACGAATTGTATACTCTGGTAGATATTAGTTGTATACAGGCGTTATATACACTCCGAATAGGTTCGATCTTGGCAAAACAATAATTATTTAGTGCTGCCTAAATGTGCCTGCCCAACTGGGCAACTATCAACAATAATATGTCATGTAATATGTAATAGGGAGTTCCCTACGACCATGACATGACATATAATAATATAGTATAACTCTAAAATGTAAATCGTAATTAAATAGGCCAGATTTCGTGTTGGTGAGACAAAACGTGCGCGACGCAGGCTCAGACCATCGTGCATTACTGCTGGGGCTTAAGTTTGGAGGCGTTCCATCTGTCAACAGCCTTAACTCAATTTACCACTTCCAGGTGAGATATTAGATTTTATTGTGAGTTATATTTTTTGTTATAGCAGGTATATTAACAAGCCAGACACAATTGAAGTTCCATGTATCGTGGCTAAGTAGAACTTAATTTTCTAAAACGACGTTAGAAAAAGACTCGTTTATTTAAGAAAACAAGTATTTTCTCTCAATCAACCTATTTCACGCGTCAGATACACACACACACACACAAATACACACCCACCCTACACGCATTCTTTTTGTAATATTATTGTTTAGTCTGTAAACCTTAAGTCTTTTAATTGGTGTTTGATTTTAAAACTATTTTGTATTAGTTTCGTAAGCAGAAAGGTTTTCTAAATAAATAAAGGTATTTAGTAAGTTACTCCTTGGTATACTGCAGCTATAATGGCATTGGCGACTTTATACAAAACGCATAAAGCAATGCTTATGCAAGAATCATAAAATACCATTGTACTCAGTAAAGCTATTCTGTAAAATTGTTAAACTGATTTCGATTCGTTGCGTGATGCCAAATCACTCCACTGTCTGAGATGTGAATTCGACCATCGATTATAAATTTGTTACATTTAGATATAATATATCCATAGAAGAGAATTGCCTGAAGTCATCTCTTAACAGAACCAGTCGAAATGAAAATTCTATTCGTAAGTGCTTTGTATAAAAAAGGAATACAGATATCCGAAAAAGAACAATAACTAGATCGAGAGGCCGGCCTTGTGCCAGATGGAGAGACGAAATTGCGATGACGGCGCGGGCGGGGAAAAGATGGCTGGAGATAGAAAAAAATTGAACATTGTGGAATGCCTTGGAGGAGGCTTGAACCAACTTAAAAATAAAGTTTAAATTTCAATATAAAGCTATATACGTATTATATACTTTGTGAGAGACAAAAAAAACTAAGAGTTAACTAAACTTCATTACAGAAGAACGTAATGTGAACGTGTACATTATTAATAACGACAGAAATTATAATCAGCAACAGACTAGGATAATGTTCACTTCGTAGGCAACATTTAATATACGATGAGAAATAAATCACTTCGTTCCCTGGGGATGCCTTAAATGTCACTGCTACTGCGGCAAACTTATTTGTTATGCAAATAACGTACAGCAAAATTGTTATTTAAACCAGAATTTAATAGTCCTGTTATAAAGGAAGCTATGCAGCGGGTGCATTCACGTAAATGCAATATTTCGTGACACTTTATTATTTTTTACCAGTGGATCTAGGTCTCAGTTGATATTTGGATCTTAGATGTGATGGTTTCTTTACGACTCGTAATTTATATGAAAAAAATTGAAATTAAATTTATTACTTCATGGTCTGGGTTCCTCGGTAAAAACTCATTTGTTCAAACTCTTACATCCCAAAAAAAACATCCAATAATAAAAAAATTATTATGACAATATCACTGATTAATTTTTTGAGTTTCATACTAAAAGCTTCTTTCCTTATTCCTGTCTTTTATACTACTAATAATTTAGGAGGAATCTTCCTTAATTAAACACGAATACTACAATAAAATAACGGAATCAGAATAGAATTACGGTATTTTATTCATTAAAATAAATGTTCTAAAATTAATTATAACGGAAATGTTTCCGGTGTGGCATTCAAAGCAATAATCGAGTTTGACAAAGTTTTATCAGCACTTAAGATTTAATTGGTTTCAGGATCGACCCTGGGTATTCGGACATCTTCTTCAATTACAGCGACGTTTGGGGCGTGAGAACTTCCCACTTATTGAACAAACTTACTACCAAAACCACACCGATATGGTAAGTCCTATCATAAGTTTCGATGTGTGTCAAGTTTGCCTCAAAAATAAGTTTAAGATCTAACGATAAAGCCAGAATTTACGTAAAAATTAAGCACGGGAACACAATTTCTACAAGATATCTTTTGTAGTACAAGGACTAATAAATGTGTTATTTGACTTGTAATAATAATACTTGTGTGTTGTGAATAATTTTTTTGTGTATTTAGCTATTAATACTTATTAACTTGATATTACATTACTTATAAATCATTTCTATACTCACTCCATTTTTATGCAGTGGCTATTATTAATATTAGAAAGTGTTGGAGTTTGAATGTGTACTTGTAATGGCAGGCAACACTTGTCACGTGTGAAGAAACAGTTTGTGAAACAGATATTAAATTGTTTATTAATCGGTCAACGTTCTTAGACAATAATAAAATACTATTGTCATCGTCGGAGCTTGCTAACTGCCGTTGCGTTCATAACTAGCAAATTACCAAAAGGCGATTCAGGTTAAATAATCCGTCAGGCGTTAAAAAATAGGCACTTCGCTTAACTCTTTATTCTTAAACCTATTTGTTAATTTACAATACTTTCACTTAATCATAGTTAACTTAAAATAAATAATACATAATGTCCGTTAAAGACAAAACAACTAGAAGGCTGTAACAATTGGTACTTTCGGTAAAAATCACCATTAAATCTTAGCCCGTGCTGCCTTCGCCAATATACAAGCAAAAATAATTTAGAACATTTGAGACAAAACTGAAGTTAAAGCTTCTACATTAGTAACTCAACGGTAACGGATCAGGAGCTTAAGAGAAATGGTCACCTGCAACCCAGATATGTATGGCCGATAATGAGCGACGCGAATGGGGGAAAAGATAGCTGGTATAAGCATGAAGCGCAATAAATATGAAGTTATTTCCTATCTAAAGAAACGAGAGTTTGAATCTTCTACTGCTGCCTTAGCGTCGTTCTTGTAATATCAACATTTAATGGATTTTTTAAATTTATTCTTTCATTATAATTTGTATTGTTACCTAGCCATAGGGTACAAAATGACCATTCCTCTTTTTAATTATTTGAGTAATTCGTTTCGTGAATCAAGTCATAGTGCTGTTATTGTTGTGATATTGCTTCTGTAGACACCTGGTCAGGGCTGGTGCTCTGAAATAAAATGTTTTTTATTAATATTTTTCAGGTTGAATAACTTATATTACTTATTCTAATTGAAATAGCAAGTTTAGTACAAATCTCGAATAATAGAAGAAATTGAATTCCTATAGCTTAGTAAAAATGTTTATTAATAATAAAATTTGAAATTAATTTATTTAAATTTTTTTTAAGTTTTTAATTTCTTATTATTATTATTATTATTAGTAGGTTAAGAAATTTGAAAATATTTATGTGTTGGAATTGAAAATATATTCACTAATAAAAATTTAACAGGTAAACTACGTCGCACAATAGTGTATGTAGGCTCACGGTAATACATCATGTAGTACCAATCTGTCAATTATGTAGTAGATATTTTAAGGATGAATTTACATACATTAGTATAGAGGGGACCTTCTTGATAATGGAAGCCCGTTGGTAGCCGTACCGGTCTAAGACGGTACATTAAAATTACTGTATAAAGTAATTCTTACAGTATAAAGGAGAGTTGAACAATACAAACCAATAATTTATCAAAATAAAATAGCCTTTATTAATAATACGTTTACTTTTTATTAATAATGCAATGGTGAAAATTAATATGTACTGTTAGTGGCAAAAAACATAAGAACGACTTCTGCGCATCAAACACTGACCAGCCAGGATTACGATGGCATAGATAATCAATCAGTGTTACCATATCATAAAAAACCAAACATGTCATGTCAGCACTATGTCTTAGTTTGACGTATAATTAATTATTTAAGGTCAGAGAACTCCGAAAATGATGATTTAATCAGTCCGCATTACTCATTGTCAACACTAAAGCAAAAACTGCGTAGGAACATCTTATTTGGCTTAAGTACTATAGACGGACTTTATAGATTGACAGTAGTGTTTTTTTACTGGTGATAAATATATTAGTGGGCGTGGTTGTTAATCTATATAGAGCTTAATTTAATCTCTATTGAGAATTCATGTAGGATGAAAGTTACTTAATCTTTTAATCTAAGCGCTTTTATTTTCAGATCAATTGCTTTGTAATAAATAAATATATAACAATAAACACCAAAATACGAGATCAATATTCGCTTAGTGGTTCAGCGAGTGACTTTCAAAACTGAGGGCGTGTTTTATAAAACAAAATCAATCAGAAATGTAGAGGTACATTGTCACCCCCAACAGCAATAATGATTGTGATCCCGACTTCAATTCAGGTCGAAATTGGATATAAAACGTCATGATCGCAATCGCCATGGCAATCTCGTATAATAGGAAGACTAAACAGTACTGCTGATGCAATTTGAGTTCAACCTATAAAAGACCTTTCCCGCGTCACGTGGATTATTATTATTTACAAAATGTGTACAAACGTGGTTTCTAATTTATTAAAATAATAATTGTTTATGTAGTTCGTATAAAAGAAATTTGAGTTGTTTATATATAATTGCTAAATTGCGTTACGTATGAGCACGTAACGTTTAATAAGCATATTTGTAAGTACAAAGTCCAAGTCACCGTTTTCCGGATCTACACGCATGCTTTAACACGCTTACATTAATATATTAATATTGTATAATAATGTATATATCATTATTATTATTATAATATATCGAACAATGATTTAATTAATTCATAACACACAAATATAGAGTCTTTAAAATATACTAAACCTACATTGTAGTAATAATTAAAAAAGGATAATTTAAAGTTTTGTCCCGGTGGCATATACCTTTAATAATGGAATTTCCTCACTGTATTGCGATAGTAATTCGTTGAGCGAGGAAAACACCAGCTCTGCGGTCACCGGTTCTATCTACCAGGCGCCGACTATCTAATATATAAAATTCTCGTGTCACAGTTTTCGTTGCCATACTCCTCCAAAACGGATCGACCGATTCTCATGAAATTTTGTGTGCATATTGGGTATGTCTGAGAATCGGACAACATCTATTTTTCATCCCCCTAAATGTTAAGGGTAGTCCTAAATATTTTATTTTTATTTTTAGATATTTTTTCTGTTTTTTATGATACAGCATTAAAAAATACATACAAACCCCTAACTTTCACCCCTCTACGATCAACCCCTATTTTTTTATTATAAATGATATATATGGCAAAACGACGTTTGCCCGGTCAGCTAGTACCACTATATAAATGTCTGTGACTGTGACCCATTAAAGAGTTATTCATTTTCTAGTGAGAATCATTTTATCGGTTCACCGGTTCTAGGTATCGCTTCAAGTATACCAACTTTATAACCAGCTAAAACCACGTGTTTGCTATTTTCTAATCTGTTTCAATAAATGTAAATTTAAATTATATTGTGTAACGGTTTCGAATGAAATAAATAATATAAAAATCTTAACAAGAGTGATACAAGGCGATTCAAAACGAAGCATTTTGGTTCTTCCTAAATAGATGTAAGGGCGAGATTTAAAGTCGATACGTCCGTATATTGATCACAGATGATTCTATCATACTTTGTACTACGTAGTGTAGACTGAATGAACCTTTGGAGCCTCCGAAGTTCTGAGTTCGTAAGTTCGTAATAATTACGCCATGTCAAATTTACGAAACTATTACATTCAATCATTAAAACGCAAAACCCTAATGAAGTTTCCTTCTCATTAAGGCGTCCATTACTGTTTATCGCGTTCTGACAGAAGTGTTAAGGGAACGGTATAATGATAAAAGATATTAGGTGTATATTTCGCTGAGTATGGGACGATTTCTTGAATGTAACTGGTGTTAGTTATTTTTATAAATTCATTATATGCAGAATTTTAAAATTTCTAAATCCGAATACAAACGATAATCAAATTTTCATGGAGCGCGTTTACAGTAGCGACATTTTATATGCCGCGTAACTAATATTACTATTTTGTTTACTACACTATCGTATTGGCTTTGTAAGGTTTTGTATTTCATAAACAATATTATGATTATTAACTTTTTTAATTGAGGTGAAAATACGCTCAGGTAACACAGTGCCCAACAGTAGTTTGACCAACTAATATTTCTGTTAAGTATTTGCATAGATACAAATTGTATTCTTAAAATTCTATTTGAAAGAAATATTTTACTTCAGAGCCGTCAATTATTTGTCTCATGATTGAAACATCGTTCTATCATCGAAAGCGTTCTACGCTTTTCATGAGCTTTACCCAACATCAAACGCGATCAATCGATCGATAGATCAATAGTTATTAATTAAGATAGATATAAAATCAAATAGATAGATATAAAATCAAATAGATAGATATAAAATCAAATAGATAGAGGTAAAATCTTACCTAGTCCACCTGCACCGCCTGTCCCTATCGTGTAAGCAGATGCCGTGTCGTTCGTAGCACTCGTCGTAGCCTGCGACACATGTGTTTGGAGACTTCGTACTGCGTCGGTTTATGTGCACCTGGAATTAAATGATACTGTTTACAAAATTGTCTTAAGTAGTTTTTATTTGAATCGCACGAGTGTTTTACATAGTTATTATATACTATTTTACTTAATCTGATAACTTGGCACCTCGTGGGATTTTAGGATATTATTGTTATTTATTTTCAAAGCTGTATTCTAATACAGATATACACACATTGATATTATTTTGTATCTTAAAAAAAACAATGGTGCTTCAAACCTTTAGGTCTACTGTATCTGATTCGTGATCATCTGTTTATTCTAATAGGCAAGTAGGTGATAAGCCTTCTGCGCGTGACACACGCTTGGACATTTTTGTACGATGTTTTCCTTCACCGTTGAACCGAACGGTAAATGCGCACATAGAAAGAAATTACTTTGGTGCACAGATGGGGATCGAACCTACGACCACGCACGAGTAGCACGCTGAAGCCACTAGGCCATCACTGCTTATACAAGTACAAGCCAAGAATAAAAAAGCTTTAGTCTCAATTATGGTTATTATTTTGCTCAGATTACGAACGTAATAAGAGGTATTATGAGAGATTATCGGTCTTGGTCCTCGAAATTTGCAAGACTTGGATATAATAATGCTTGTTTATGTACTTATAAATGTTCGCATATAAGACGCCCTGCTCCAAATCTGGATGAAGACAAATATTCATAAAGATTATGTATTATTTTCGTCTCCTATATGCAAGCATTACCTTGTATATTAAACAATAATTTAGTAAATAATGTAGTTTAAATTTTTGTATTTTTTTTAATGTAGGATTGATCGTCATTTTTTTTGTCTATGGTTTTAACCTAATAAACTGTTTTCAAATATTTTAATTCATAACAGATAAGTCTTATTACACCGGTTTAACTAAAATAATGTATCTTCTTTTGATCACAAATTTAGCAAAATTTGACACGAATGTCTCAATTAGACTAGTTTAGTTTTTATTAATATGTACATTCATTTTGCAACAAAAAATATCAATAGAAGTTACCTTGCACGTGCAGCCCTGTCTATACAAAACACGGAAGCCTTTCCTCTGTCTAGGCGTCACCTCCCGCCATTTGTTGATGTAGCTACACAGCTGGACGTGTGCTTGCAGGTGCATCACGCGACCTGCATTATACAACATATTATCGTACCAACGGTTGAATACAAATTCAAAGATTATAAAAAGCAATTGTGGCCAATATGTTAATTGTCAATTTCAAATTCGGAATGCAAGTTTTAGTTCCTATTGGCGCTTTGAGAAGAAAGTCATAAACGTGCAATTTCTATTGCGTCGTTATCACTTGCAAGTTATTATGACAATTTTAATAATCGAATTAGGTAGATTAATAATATATTTATCTCAAGAACTTTATGAATGTAAAAGGGCATTAAAGAGACACATCAGCCTAGTAGACTAAAATACTCGTAAGAACGGCTGATGGCTACCTGCAATATTATGTAAAAAACATAATTTTTTAATGAGAAATAAGATTCTTTTAACATTATATTGTGCGATTACTCGAAAGAGTTCTAGGAATCATCTACTATTACCTTTTTAAATTTATTATGTCAAATTATAGTTAGATCTAAAAATTATGAGTATTTAAATTGACCCCAGACCACCAGCGTTTCTTTCACATAAATAAAATAAATATGAATTGTGGTTTACCCGTAATGACATAGGTCTCTCGAGGCTGTAGGCTAACACCGCATAATGAATCCTGTGAAGGCGTCAAAATTCGACCTGATTTTAAAGCTAAAGCTGCCTTTGGAGTTGCCTGTAAACAAATTTCAGTTATTATATCCTAAACTGCCATATTGTCTTGGGTACAAATCTCGAATCGAAGTCTAAAAAAAAATAAAAATAGCCTTAATTTAGGAACTTAGGAGATTAGCTGTGAACGAGTCGGCCTCGAGATCAAGAAAAAGAACTTAAACAGATATACGAGTACATACCTTAAAAACGCTTCGGATTTTCACTTTGTAAGCGTCGTAGAAATCTTTGCCTCTAAACAGTCTTTGAACTCGTCCAACAATTACTGAAATATTACGCCCTCATTAGAAATTAATATGATTTAACAAAGTCAGATTTTTGTTATAATTATTTCGATACATACAGTAGTATCTGTCTTGCCTTCTCATCTAAATTTATTTGTGTATGTTTTTTACTGCAGGTAACTTGATTTGCGTAAGAAATATTTAAGTATATATAGCATACCAAAGTCACTGTTACAAAAGTGTGTCTGTGGATGTTCAAGCGAGCACGAACAAGCGTCGCTGGTGCGCCAGCTCGCTGCCACCAGTGCTATCGTCAGCAGTCTAGTCAGCATGCTCTCTCCGATTATCTGGAATGTAAAAAAAAATTATTAATAATGGGTAGTTTTGATTATCTGAAGTAATTGATTTTTCTAGGTTATTAAAAAAGCAATATGTGTCACCAGCCAGGATTTTTAAAGCTATAATTTTTTTATTATTCTATATATTCTGTGGTTTAAGTTTCTCGCGAATTTCATTACCAGAATACATATCCATAGAGTACATTTTTGGCTATAGACAAATATATATGTAGCAACCTACAATTGTTTTTTTTATAGATGAACCGCGTTCGACGTATATGTCGTGTGTATTATTTATTATATTACAGATATTATAAGAATTGTTATAGTAATTATTTAACGTTCACGATAAAACCTTGAGCCTATTTATAGAACTTTGCTTCGCAAATTATGTCAAGAGTCAAGATTAGTTTATAATAAAAGAAAAAGTCTTTGAGGGCGCTATCAAGATATTTTATGAATATTTTGAATCCATTCAAATTTGACCTAAAAACGGCAAATAAAAATGATTTATATTCGTTCTTTATCACCAGATTTTGCATAAGACGTAATAAAATTTAAACCTTCTTTTTTATGGTAACACCTTGCGTGATTTTTATAATATGGCTTTATGGACGGGATAAACTTTTTATTAGACGAATACAGCGGCTTAATAAAATATCAACTATAGCTATTTATAGGTACATGATCGGATAGCGTTCGATTAGGTAATACGTTTAACTTGAATGATTACACGGGTGTTAAATGATTACCGATTGTATGTTCCTTATCCTGTTTTGTCAAATTCAAATTCAAAAATCATATATTCATATAGGTAACAAAATGTACACTTATGAACGTCAAAATATATATGAAATGATTCTAATTTTACATTTACAGCCAGTTCTCAAATCAAAGGCGTAGAACGGAAGAGAACAACTGGCAATAAGCTCTCCGCCACTCATTTTAGTCGCCAAATCTGTAGGAGTAAGTCTTAATTGCGTACACAGAAAGAAGAGGACTTTAACCAACTAAGGGATGAGAACCGCATACTAGAGTAACGCTGCTTCGTCACGTCCCTTAAGCGTTATTTATTAGGTGGGCTGATAACTTCGTAGGCTATCGAAAAGCCTTTATTCATAGTATTTTAGTTGCCTTTGAGAGCGATACAACGATTATAGCGGTCATACAATTTTTTATAGTACGATTTGTGTTAAGCCTCAAAATAGGCTTCAGTTTCGGTGATTACCTTTTCATCAGCATATTGTTATGAAGCATTATGACAAGAACAAAATATAGAAAAGGTTAGCCGCAATTTAGCCGGCACTTTAATGTAAAATTTGTAAAACACAGTTTTTCAATGTTTATTGTAACTTTTTTCGCTTAACTTTGCTTTGTGATGCTACATTGTTTAATTCAATAAAATTAGCACATTTAGCGCCAATGTTCGATTTCCGGAAATAATTAAAATGAAATTCATCAGACATGTTCTGTCCATGTTGGAACGGCATTTCACTTTTCAATGTCTAGCAGAACGTGCTGAACTTTATATTATTGTAACGTAAATCTTATTTTGCGATCTTTTATCTTTACAATCCATTGTCATTGTTGAATGGCAGTTTAAATCTGTTTTGACTTTACAACGAGGAGTTAAAAATAACTTCGATTTATTTATTTTTTATTTATATTTATAAGAATATGTATAACTAACTTTAACTTTTTAGTTAAATAAAAATAACTATCTACAATAATAAAAAATAGGGGTGGTTCGTAGAGGGATGAAAATTAGGGGTTGTGTGTATTTGTGTATGCTGTATCATATAAAAATAAAAACCAATAAAAATTCTAAAAAACAATATATTTAATATCACTGAGGGGTTTGAAAGTTAGCCGATTCTCAGACTGACTGAATATGCATAAAAAAATTCATAAGAATCGGTCTAGCCGTTTCGGGGGAGTATAGGAACGAACATTGTGACAAGAGGATTTTATATATTAGATGTTACTACATTAATAAATCGAAGTTTTATTCTTATTAAGTTAAGCTCAACTTGAGAGAAATAAAACAATCAAAGTCAAAGAAACTACGCAATATTGGTTTTTTGTCTCGTAGTGACTTCTCATGACACAAAAGCTTTTATACAAAGATAGTTGGTTAGATAAATTAATACAATAAACGTCGAAATTAGAATACGTGATATCTGTATGATAATGAACAAATGTTATTTTCAAATGAAGCACATGATTAGTATTTAATCGGACGTCTGTATGCATCCTTTATGCCCAAAATACATCAATGGGATTCTGAATTACAACTGGCTTTGAACCGATTACAATACAAACCCCTAATCACTAGCTTTGCAAAATAACTCAAACAAGTACAAATTGTTTTTGTAATGATGCCAATTTGAATTTCGTTCGGCATAATTTATTAGCATTTGTGCAGGTTGTTAAGAACGTGAATAAACATAAAAGGATATTTTTAGTTGTATTTTCATCTAGTGTGATATATCTTGTACGGTAAGAATTTATTATTGAAGTGAAACTTCTTTATCGAGGTTGGAAAAAAATTTAGTGTAACATTTTTTCGTTACGCGTCACATTTTTCGGTTACGCGCCATGTTGCTTTTTGAAGTCAAACTTCTTTATCGGCGTTGGAATGAAACTTCTTTATCGATGTATGGGAGAAATTTTGTAGCAAATCGTCACGTTTTTCAATGATAGTAATAATTCTATTACAATTAATGAAATTCTATAATAATCTTCGTAGTAATAAGGTAAAATGAAATATTTGTATTCATGTCTATGATAATATGCCTTTTGTTAAACTTTATCTAATTTAACGAATTTCTGTAAAGTTGCATATAGTAGATCATTTTTCGAAAAATAAGATCATAAAGAAGTTTCACTTCTTACGTGTGTACACGCACCTAGTACACGCACAATTTTTTTTTTTTGTCACGTTACCTGTTGTTGTTACCTCGCTGTTATTATAATAACAGCGAGTCACGCATTGGAAAAAAGGTTTTTGTCTCAGGGTCCTGATGTGCCCAATACACCATGTGTACTATCTATATACATAAAAATGTTATGTTGGTTTGTGTCCGCTTCAAAAACTCAAAAAGTTCTGCACGGATCGAGCTGAAATTTTAGCATGATATATAATCAGCATCAAGGATTTTTTTATCAATTTTTTTTGCTTTTTTGTTTTTTTTTTATTTTTTCCACAAGTATTGCAAAATTTAACTTATATGAAATGTTTCCTTTGTTTTGTTTCTCATTTCTCAACCATTCAATCACAATGTGCCACAGCGAAGCGTAGCAGGGAAAAGTTATTTATATATTATTTTGTTGATAGATGTGTAATGTCAAAACTAGATAGATAAACTAAATCTTAGTCAATGAATAGAGTAATTAGAACGCCTATTAATTTACAGTAGAATGAATACAGCCTCTGTTGTTAGGACTGTGTAAATAACCTTACACACCGGTTAATTATTAATTACACATTCTAATAAATACAAAATACCTACGAAATAGTTTACTAATTTACAAAATGTACATAAGAGATGAGACTTGCGGCCTACTTTAGGTATGTACACACAACGGCCTTGTTCGCGGTTGTTTGAAAATGACGTGTGCAGGTATTGTTTTGCCCTTAAGTTACGAGAGTTAATCAACTTAACAAAAGTGAAAAGATTTTTCGTATTCAAATCGTTCAGTTGAAAGGGCTTTGTATGTAAAATATTGCTTAATTTGCTTTAAGACCTGATGACGTCTTTTCACTTAACTTTTGCTTAATACTAACTTAAAATAAGATAAAAAATATAGTTAAAATGTTTAGAAAAACAAATCTATATAGAGCAAAAATTTTATAACTTTTAAAAGAATTATAATTCCAATAAGTTATTTATTACTTAAAATTTTCTAATTTGCTTATTCAATCGGTGCTTTCATATGGTGAAAAAGAAAATAAAAACAGTGACTATATACAATGAATGAGCAGTGTTGGCCTAGTGGCTTCAGCGACTCTTCCTAAGGTCGTAGGCTCAATCCCCGGCTGTGCAATGTACTTTCTTTCTATGTGCGCATTTAACATTCGCTCGAACGGTGATGGAAAACATCGTGAGGAAACCGACATGTCTTAGACCCAAAGAATCGACAGCGTGTGTCAGGCACTGGGGGCTGATCACTCTATTCGATTGAAAAATGATCATGAAACAGATTCAGAAAACTGAGGCACAGACCTAAAGAGGTAGCGCCACTGATTTATATATATATATAATTACAGACTAGTTTTTTGGAAATTACCGTTATTCAAAATTAATCATATCTAGAAATTATAAACGAAGGCATACTCAATAGTATTGATAATACAATATGTACTATGCGATGTTACGTGTGTACTTTCTCATAGTGTTGGTAATGGCCTGTCATTTTCAAACAATGTTAGAGCACAATAAAGGAAGCATTAGGGCCGGAATGTGTGGGAGTAGTTACCAGCGAAATGCATACACTATTAACAGATGTTGACGCAATTCAACTTTGGATAATAGAAGTTAGCTTTTCTTATCTACACGAGTATATGATGTCCACGTGAATGTAATTTCTTTCCTCCTCGGTACATTAAAGCAATTGTGTTATAGATTGCATTAATCAGATAATACTCAGTAATACACACACGCAAGCAAGCAGTAATATTGACAAAAATTCATGTTAGTTATACGGTTCTAATGATGTTTTTAGAGTTAGTAGGTACCTTGTTTAAATGGTATAATTAATGTTTATTTAAAGGCCTATTTAAATACATAAAAAACTTACATTCCGTGGTTTCAATTTATAAGTATATTTTAAAACACTGAATAAACATCCTTTTGCTACGGCGTCGGATCAGAAAATAGTTTTAAAAGGTCGTGTATACTGTATGCATTTTATGATTAACGTCATCGCATCAGCGCAACAATGCCTCATTTGTCAGGGATCATCGAGGATCATGAGATTATTAGGCTTTGTTC